ACACACACACACACACACACACACACACACACACACACACACACACACAGACACACACACCTTAATATCCTTCTTACTCCGAGTTTATCTTAAGAGCCAAAACGATCATTTCACCTCAATGTTCTTCATAGTCCTTAGCAACATCTCACAACTTTCTCCTCAAGTACTCATGCAAGGAAACAAACGTTTTTTGACATCCAAGAACAAGTGTCCATTCAGCAGCACAGTAATCAATGTTCATGAATCTGAGTAATACAAAGTCATCATCTCACCAGACATTTAGAATACCCATATTCTCCACTACAAGGACTGAAACGATACATGCATGCAAAAATACTGTATCAGTCTGGTGAATAAGACATCACTCTTTAAAGGTACCAGAGCTAACCCACACACCTATGAAGATGAGATAAACAATAATACGGATATTGTTCTTTGCCAGAAGAGGAGCACTAGGAGAAGGCTTGCCAATACGCCCTGGTTTTGAGTCTTTCTGATTTTGATGACAAAACTGTTTAAGTAATAGTCACTAATAGCACATGGCAAGTATAATGATAACTATGCCAACAACAGACAGATATTATGATAGAATTTGTGCAAAAATAGTGCATTAACTGTTAATTATACAAGAAAACAAGTGTTTTGGCTATATCATAATACTTACAATATTCAAATTGATGGCGATATTAATGTTCATGATCGCAATATAATATTTTATTGATATGTTGCCCGGTCCTAACTAAGCGTATCTGAGTACTGAGTATTTGAGTATTCAGTATTGTCAGAGATTTGAGTACTGACAATGAAAGTATCCAGTATTCTCAGAGGTAGAGAATGAATCCTAAGCTCACCTTGGAAGTCTCTCCAGCAGCCCCTTCAGCCCATTACACAGCAGTCGGACCAGGCCACTCTTGATGTTGGAGTAGGACACGTCGATCATAAAGATGAACGCAGGTGGATTTGGGGGCTTCTTGTCCTGAGCGAGAGAAGCATCAGTTAGCACCCCAGAGGCATTCATGTTTATAGCAACATCCATCATGCCTCTCGTAGTCATTTATGAGGCACTTAATAGCAATGGGAATTGAAACTGGTGAGAGACCACATACACTGGTAGCCAGAGATACCGTAAAAATGACCTGTAAAGTTAATTTACTGGATATGTTCAGGGTCACAATCACATACATAACATGTTTAATCAAGGCGATGGGGGTTAAAAGGTTACGGCTGCTTGATTTTTTTATATTGGTGTTCATCATATGAATTGATTCCATAGCGAGTATTTAACATATTGATAAATCTGAAAAATCAGGAAAAAACAAATCTAACTATTCCCAGGGCCTCCCAATTGATACGTGGAAAAATGATGTTACATTACATTCACTTAGCAGCAATTTTATCCAAAGTGATGTACAACTGGGGATTGGGATTAAGGGCCTTTCTGAAGGACCCAACAGTAAATCACTCTGCCGACCACGGGATTTGAACCAGTGACATTCTGATCCTGGGCGCAGCATCTTAACCAGAGATGCAGGATACTAGAAAAAAAAAATCACAATGCAATTTTTGAACTTTTTGCGGTAAATATTGGTGCTGCTGCAAATTGTGCCAACGCAGAGCTGTGCTGACAAATTGCTCGTACTCAACATCATCTCTGCGGAATCAAGAGAAATGTCTTTTTGTGACAAGTTCTTGTTTCTCCTCCATGCCACACTATCTATGAGTGAGTGCAACAGCAAGGATGGAAAGGATTATGAATGGCTCAGAGAGCACATGCAGAGCTCACGCAGAAGTAATTTGGCAGCCCTAGACAAATGCATGTGAATAACATGCGACGTCGATACCGTGCAGATCTATTCCTAACCCACTGAGCCACAGATACCCTACAGATTAGATTTGATGATAAATCAGCAAGAAATGCTCACCAGACTCAGCACAGAAACTCTGAAGGCCACGGCAAGCAATAAGTAAGCATTTACATGAGATGTGTGGCTCAGTGTGGCTCAGCGACCTACACTGAGCCTGGGATTGGAAGGTCATTGTTTTGAGCCCAGGCTCAGCAGAATAGACACAAGTCTATGGGCCCATGTGCTCCCTCAGCACCAGCAGGTGGCTGCCCTTGCACTGTGAGCCCAAGCCTGCTCTTGGTGACTATCTCATGGAGAGCAGAATGGGGTAGGCGGCAAGATAATTTCCCTACAAGGATTAATAAAGTGTCATTCTCCTACGATGACGACCAGGAGAGACACTTTGCTCAGAACATGACCCTGCACTTATCAAAGGCATTATTCAAATGAATGAACACAAACAGGAACCTTGCAGTACTCTGGGGTAGCGATGAACTCATAGGACCCCAGGGACAGCTCCGGCCTCTGGTAGGCGTCCACCCTGCGACCAACGTGATCCAGATGCTGGAAATAAAACGTTGGCACTGCAAAGGCACAGAAGAACAGTTTCAACTGAGGCACCAGCACAGCTGTACATGGGCTTCTAATGGCCGGCTGGAGAGCTGAATTCTATAGAACACACCTCTTGGTCTAAGACGCTGTGTAGATGTGGGGTTTACTCACCTTTCCATTCTTTTGAAAACTTTTGAGAGCTCAGCTTGTGGGAGTTTTACTTACATAAAAAATGTTCTGAGGGCAGAATGAAAAATCATTGGTTAAGAGAGATAACCAATCAGATTGTAGAGGAGGTGAGTCCAAGCAACTAGAGGAGGTGGGACCAACCAATCAGATATCTTTGTCCCATCTCCTCTAGTTGCTTTAACCCATCTCCTCTACAATCTGATTGGTTATCTGAAATAATCATTTTTCATTCTGCCCTCAGAACATTTTTGTGTAAGTAATTCTCCTACGATCCTCAGTTTGAAGATCATAATGTTAAACTCAGACCTATCGTTTTGGTATTCTCTGTAAAGGATTGCGATTTGCCGAAAACATCTGGATGTTAAACAAACCACAGCACGGGGATGTGGAGTTCTTCATGGCAGCTGGTGAGTGCAAGACATCCAGCTGTGCGTGTGAAGGCATGGGTGGTTGGGGGACAACATGTTAGTGTTGGGGGGCAGACTGACCTTCATTGACGCAACTGCAGAAACCACACTGGTAACGCCGCCCCCCATCTATAAAGTGCATGTAGGGACACATGTAGGCCTTGCAGCGGTTGCAGCGGATGGGTCCGGCCTCGCCGTGGTCCACAGTGTACAGGGGGGTCTGCAGACAGGGAGGGGGAGAGGGGGCGGGGCTTAACTTACTCGGGCATGAACACCAGCAAGGAGAAGCCTGCCATCATTCTGAGAAGGCGTGCCACATCCTCCAGATCAGCTATCGACGCTGAAATCCACTTTTTAAGGATTATTTATTCTTATATTTGTCATTTTAACCCAGTCCTGACTTACCACATTTATATTTAAATTTTTTTGCAGACTGTTTAATCCAGAGCAACATACATAAAATAATAATAATAATAAAAACAAGATCAGCCTGTCCCTGAAGCAGTTAAGGGCCGACACCCTGTGGACCTTAGACCTCTGGAAGTAGAACTGATTGATTTTTCCGTCCTATTACGCAACTGTCAAGCATGAATAATGGACTCTTTACTGGACATTAGTTACACTGCACTGGTTTTAATGTCTTTATCATTTGCAGCAGACAATGTTTTATGTTAAGCAGCTGAAACTCAAACTGTTCAGACGTCCTTTCGAAAAAGGAACATTGTTTGGATTGAGCCTTTGCCGTTTGAATGCCTATGTGTCAATACAGTTTGTATAAAATTGTCAACCCATGTATAGACATTTATAAGAGTGGACTGAGACATGCTGTGGAGATTAGCATGGGTCTCTTATCATCAGCCTGTTTACAAGCACGTCATAAATTACGTGTGCTGAGGCATATCTCTGCTGTGAGCACATCAGTGCGTTTCATCCCTTCATTTACAGTGCATTTAGGGGCTGGGGCGGGCAGGGGACGGGGGGATG